TTTTTTTTAAATTTGAGAAGGTCTTAGGATTTTAATGTCACCCTTCTGCTTTAATGGGATAGTTCACCCAGAGCTTTTCATTCTGTGTTTTTGTTCATACAATGAAATTCTATTCAAAATATTGACATGGAATGTGTGAGTAAATGATAATGGATTTTTTATTTTATGGTTAACTATCCCATTAATGACAGCAGTACAGGAGCAACATGAACAAAACCTGATGATCATGTTCTCCAGCATGATCTGAGATGTTCCAAAGAGCTTTACGGGAATAAGAAAATCTGACCATCTCTACAAAGATATTCATTAAAAGGTTTACATTTTGAATTCCAGATTGTCAGTGTGGTCTTAGACTTTTGTACCATGCTAAATGTTTTTTTTGTACCATGCTACTATTTGCAATATCAACCAATAGAAATGAAAACATCCAGTCTCAGGCCATGCAGGTGATTTAAGATAATTATTTAGAATTTTTATTCATTTGTAAACAGGTGTTTCCCTCGTGACTCTCTGGCGGAGAGCGATGTGTTCACCTCAGGCTCGGGAGAAAGGTCAAGGCCTTCTTCACGACCTCATTCTTGACCCCAAGTTCCCTGGTACCAGTCTGATGGCAATCCTGACCGAGATGACCACCAGCTGCTGACACATCATCTGTTAACAATCTCTAATAAATATAAAAACTGGGTGGAATAAACCTGTTTAGAGCGGTGTACATCAAACAGCTTATTAATCTGCAGATGTTGGCTGTGTCCATAACAACGCAGCATCCCAGATATATAACCATGACAGTCAGTGTAAACATACAGCATTTGTATCTTTAACAAAATAAAAACAGAAAAAAAATCAAACATGGCTCCTTTCCATCTCCTTTATTCAAAGTAAACCAGAAAATGTGGTTTCTTTCTCCACAAAATAATGTAAAAACAAAAAAAACACCCACTTTCAATTCTATGATATATAACCAAACTGACCTTTTTTAGGTCAGATAAATATAACCTTAAACTAAACAAAAACTATTGATTCCTCTTGCATCAAAAACAGCTGTCACTGTGGCGGTACCCTTTTAAAAGGTACTAATATGTACCAGTTAGGTACAATGCGTACACTTTAGGTACTAATATGCACCGTTAAATAAAGGTTTAAAAGTACCTCTTGAAAAGGCACCACCCCAGTGACAGAGTGCATGATCCACAAGCCATTCTCTCCAAGCATAGCTGCAGCCTGGAGAGATACAAGGGAGAGATTCAGAGACTTGGCAATAGAAAGACCATTTCTAACAGCGGTGTTGTCATTGCATTTTTGTCCAATGCCAATAAATGTAAACATTTTGAATTCAATTTAAATTCCCATCATAAGCCATGTTGACAGGGTGGTGGCATTTCATAAAAGTCATTGTAATACATTAACACTATTTGTCGTGCACACCAATGTGACAGCAGGTTAAAACAACACAGCCTTGGACGCATCGGTAAACAGAGGCTAAACTGAGTTTTGGCATCTGTAGAGTGATGTGCATTTAAGAGCAGGTTGTAGAACCCCCTTTAAAAAAAATGTGGCTTAGAGAAATCGATTTCTGTGTGATTTATTAATATCTCAGATCTGCATTCTTTGTGGTTTTCCAAAAAATAATAATATTGTGTGGAATTTAATATACAATATCTGAATTTTTGAATTTGCTAGTAAGCCCACTTCTGTGAAGACTTTGCAGTGTTCTGATTTGTATATTTGGAATGATCGACGCTGTTTTAATCATTCAGCCTACAACCCTGCTGAGATTTTTTAAGTAGCAATCGCTTCTCTGATGATACACAACCATATACTTAAAAACAAAACTGCTTTTCTTTAAAAATTCTGCTTTTAAAGAAGTGGCACACAGATCTACAGGTTCTGCCTGCTGAAATGAGTGTGACTTTCTTTATATTGAATAATGTGTTGCCTGGAAATATTTGTCATATATGGTAGGGAGTAAATATATGTATAAATATGACACCTAAAATGGGAAGATTATGTTCTGTGTGCTTCATCAGACTGTATTTATTACCGTTTCATAACAAACAGTATACCAGTTAATACAAGCACCATAATATCCAATGGATCTTGCACACAAATTCTGGGAGGAAAATGATTTGAACGAATATATAACATGCAGTAAACCAGGGTCAGACCATCAACTGACCAAACAAAGACGATGCTGAACTAATGTACTTTAACCTGTTCACTCCAAGCTTGGCATTAATCCCATTAAGAGAAGCATTTCCAAAAAGCCTCATGTCTGCTCTCCTACAGGGCTAATAAGTACATTTTTGCTCTGGGATTTGAAAACATGGAAGACCTTAACCTAATAAATTATTTGCATTCCATCAGATTTATAGTATTGTTATTATTAAATAGACTTTGGCCATGTCAGTCACGTCATGTGAAATTAAAGCAAGTGGGTTTGGAACACAGCCATAGTGAACTCCGTGTGTGTTGAACCATGTTGTGTCTTCATAGTATACTTATATTGTGTTACTCGGTTTTCCTTTGCCCATGTTAATGTCTTGCTCATTGAATGTCCTCCTTATACTGTCAAGCTGATCTTCATCTATGTATTCATAATCATGCACATCATTGTCGTCATCTTCAAGTTTTGTGATGGATATGTTGTCCAGACTTCGGCCCTTGGCAAGATCTGAGGGGGAATCAAACGCCCACTCAAAATTTGGGTGAGGACAACAAGGACACACAAGCTTTAAAACACAGCCGGTTAAAGGTGAAGTGTGTACTTTTTCCTTTTTTTTTTTTTCAACAGAGTGAGTCTGGGGCCAATGGCAGATGGAGCAAGTGTTCAGGGGCCTCATTTATAAAACGTGCGTGTGCACAGATTTGATCAAATTTGATTAAAGCGCGTGTTTCTATGCAACATTTTATCAATGAGGCCCACGGACACCTGTTTGAAAACAGTCATTTTTTTTGCATTTTCAGTTGACGCTGAAATAACACACTTACACTGATAAACACTGAAGAGGGATGTAGCAGAATGTTCCTACCTTTCTGCAGGGTAGGCTTTGGGAAAAGGACTGGACTACTGGGAATCTTTTTGTCCTTTCCATTTTTCGAGTCACTGCATTGCATGAAGTCATCTTGCTTAAAAGGTTCGACACAATGACTCTGTTACAGGGATGAGAGAACATTATGAAATTACGCAATGTATATATAATAAGTGAATATAAAAGTTCCATTACAGTTTTTTTTTTTAAATGTAATCAGTCTTTTCAACACTCCTAGTACAAATCATGGACAAACAGATCGTCAGATAGCAGATTTTGACTAAATCAGAGTTTTGGTGAAAAAAAAAAAACTATTGGTGAACATAGCACTAAAACAAACAAACAACAGCAACAAAACCTGTTGAGGAAAAACAGGTCTCATTTCAATTAATTACACCACATCATATTCAATTAATAACTATGACGTCTACACATTACATAAAAAAATTATGTAATGCTATTTAGCAGTATATATTGCTTTGGAACATAAGTATCATAGCGCCATATAAAATACGTAAATACATTCATGTGGTACACATGTCATTATAGTCCAGGCTTAAAATGCAACAATCAGTTTTTATACAGTTATTAACAATACATCCCTGCTATTTCTTTCTATCCTCCTCCTACTATGTCTGTGAGATCTGCCTGTAAAATAACATCTTGATTGAACAGTTCAGTTCTTATTGTATTGTCTTAGTAAAAGAATCCACTAGGAGGCGCCTAGCAGTTTTATAAGCCTTCTACCATATTACAGTCCACCTCACTGTTAAATGAGCTTCTCTGATATATCAGTGTGTGGGATTATTTTCTGCAACTGTTCAGTGAGGGGTGTTTATTTATTGTTCCGTACATACGATTAATTAAATGTGCATTTAAAATGCAGATCTGCATGCATATTCAGCTTGTTCCATATGTAAGGAGGTCTCTGAAAATATTCTGACATTAATTATCGGATTTTTCACATTTTGTTTGTTACACTTTCAGATTTAACACATTAAAATTATTTTCAACAATTATTTAGAATATAATGCAATGTTAATCATTTAAGAGAATTCCTATCTACACAATGCATTTCTCATTTACAAAGTGTAATCAGTGTGAATGTCTTCCGCTTCTCTGGATATTTTCACTGTGTGCATCGGGAAAAATTATTTGATTCTTAAATGCAGATCTCTGGCTTCTTGTTCCCTTACGATAACGGCATGTGTTAAATATGTGTTAAATATTGAATGTTGGTAACTATAACATCCTCTGCATCTCTGTGTGATATAAGATTGCAAAATAATGGCATCTCATCATGCGTGAATCATGTGTGACACCTTATGTTTCATAGACCATCTGTTTGTAATTTACAATATCTCTAATCTGTCGAAATCTAAAACACACAAGTAGTATAAGTATTTATTATGCATCTTCGGTTTTGTTTTTTTCTTATTTATTGACAGTAATAATTACAAAGCATTTGATTATTTTTTAATTGTTATCTATCATCCAATATCCATGTATTGTCTGAATGCATTAGCAGATTTTTTTTTTCAAGTTAGAAAATATCTGCCATCTGCCACTTAGTAAAGTAAATTTATCTTGTTTTAAAGGTGCTGTATGTAAGTTTTTGACTACTAAAGCATAAAAATACCATAATATGTTTGCAGATATTTAAGAAACATGCCAAGTTAACATATTTGTTTATCTGAAAAACAATGCTACAGTCAGTTATTCTCCTTTGAAAATGTGCGTTCCGGGCCGGAATGTCGGTCTCTGTTTTGGATTGTAAAACCCGCCGACTGCCAGTTTACCCAATTGTATTTTGGCACCCCGGGTTCCCAGTTGGCGGGAAACACAGCGTATTTCAGTCATGGAAGCTGGCAAACGAAAGTGTTGGTGTCGTCAATCTGGCAACCTGCATCAAGTCTGAGGAGGAGGGACCGGGTGAAAAAACCCCTCTCCAATATTTTGAATTTGGACTGCAATACCTAGTTCAACCACTCGGTGTCAATCCTACATACAGCACCTTTAAGGATGTTTATACTCATGACTTAAAGTCATTTTTGCAGTTTAGCTCATTGACCATACCATAGGTAAATTTGACATGTATTTTCTTTTTTTATCTTAATGCTTTAGTATTTTGTACTTACAAGTGTTCTGTGAATGAAACTTAGCACGACACTCTCCTATCTCTACTGCACACAAGCTCTTAAATAGCCCCTTAAATGATTTACAGCAAGCAGTCTGAGTCTCACGTAGCCTCACTTTTGATTATTTCTGTGAAGTCAGGTCCACTTTACAGCTTATTCTGGCTAAGAAACACATGCCACCCAAAGATCTCGTTTGGCTACTTGCTTCTATGGGCTTTAAACAAAATATTCTCTCACACATGTGAAGCCACAAACTTTGGCAAATCCATGAGCTACTTTCAAACGCAGACTGATGAAACATAAGTACCCTGACTCCAGGATGTTGCACAAAGCCGTCAGACTGGAACTGGTGATTTCAGCCAGCTCTGGTCATTTCCTATGCAGTATGCATCAGATGGTCTGTGAATGGTTTGTGGGTGTGCCGTCCAATGGTGTGGTCACAAAATACAATGAATCATACAGGAATAATGACGGCGAAATAAACATCCTAAGCTATTCTACCAGCTAACAAGCCAATGAACTCTAAATAACTGCTTTATAAACAGTCTTTTTTTACGGATCATTGTGGATCTTCAGTTTTGCTTTGTTGCTAAATTATGAACATTCGCCGAACCTAGAGGCTTGCTATTGCTTGGCACAGCAAATTTGGGTGTCATAGCTCACCAAACGTGCAAAGGGATGAAGTGTTTTGAGCGTGAAGTCTCGAACACAAAATGCAATGAAATACAGTTTACCTGTGGAGAGCAGCTGGAGTTCTCACTGTTTACGCTCTCAGATCTGGATGACAGCATTTTGGGAGGTCGTGGTGGAGGATCTTTGGGTTTTTTGGGAGGCCGTGGAGGGGGTGTGATGGTAGTAACGGCGTACCTCCTGAGTGTGTAGTAACAGTCCTCTGAGATCTCCTCGATGGCTGAATTTCCACTACATATTGGATTCTCGCCATCCCAGTGCTGTTTTATGTTGAGGATCAAGTCTGCGCGATTGACTGGCACCTCCCTGATCTCTGAGAGGTCAGTGTTTGAAATGACGAGGCAAGGGTCAGAGATCTCCTCCTCAATGTGCAGACCGGGCGCTCCAGCCAAAACGTCCACCTTCAAAGAGAGGTCACGCACAGACACATTGACGTTGAAGGGCAGCGGGAACCATCGGCATATTTCCGCAATGGTGTATTGACGCTTGTCTTTAACAAGCTCCATGAATCCCCCCTCCAAACACACAGGGAGGCGCACAGGCTCCTTCACCTCCGTCTTTTGGCTTTTCTCTGTAACTTTCAGACATTGAAAAGCATCAGCTGCCCTCTTGGTCCCATTGTGTGAAAGCGCACAGCTTTTGCCTTTCGTCACGATGAACTCATCTCCAGCATTAACAGAAGCGAGCCCGTTGTACACAGACTCAAACTCCCTGGTGGCGACCACACGTATCTGTTCGGTCTCGCTGCGCGCTCGCTCCAGATCATAGGCGGTGGGGAACTGCCGCGGCCGGCGCTTGAAGCGACCGTTGTAGGACTCCGGAATAAGAAAGTGTCTTGTTGATTCACGGCCCATTTCCGAGGCCAGTATTCGCTTTGCAGAAAAAGCATGATGAATAATCACCTGTTTGGAATGGAAAAGCGTTTCCAGCTCCGGTGAAAGCTTGAAAGGTCTTTCACATGACAACTTGGCCACCACAGGAAAAAACTCTGGAGGCCTCTTGAAAACGTCCATTAGAGAGAGAGGCTGCACAAAGGAGTCACAGTCAAACTGTTCGGTGACATCCACCACCTCCACGTCCAAATTTGACGGGACAAGCAGAATTTTCTCACTGACTGTGGGAAGAAAGAGTAAACACAGAGGACAGACGTGAGCAGAACAGGTTTATGTGTAAGCCAATTACCTGAACGCTTTCATGCACAAATTGTCCCATTGAATTGAATGTGATGGTTTATGTGCAAATGGATTTATATACATTTTTACAAATGTTACGTCCATAGGGACATATATTTAATTTGCTGCTGGTGTCCCTGTGTTTTCTCTTTGTGTCTCCTTGTTGCCCCTCCCACTATCCACTTCACAGGTTTGGGAGTGCCACCTGATTTGGGTTCCAGCTCGTTAAGGTGTGAGTGGAACAGTATATAGCAGGGGTGTCCAAACTCGGTCCTGGAGGCAGAAGCCCCTCACTGCAGAACAAAGATCCAGGGGGTGGGGTTGGATCCACATCTAGGGGGTGGAGGTGGTAGGTTTAGGGGTGGAGATGGGTGGGTTTAGGGGTCAGGGGGTGGAGACAGGTGGGTTTAGGGATATGGACGGGTTGGTTTAGGGGTGGAGACGGGATGGTTTAGGGGTGGAGACGGGATGGTTTGTAAGGTGGGAGGAGTTGGATCTGGATCCAACCTCGCCCCTTGGATCTGGTGTTCTGCAGTGAGGACCATCTCCCTGGAGGGCCGGTGTCCTGCAGAGTTTAGCTCCAACTTGCCTCAACCCACCTGCCTGAAAGTTTCTAGTATGCCTCGTCAGACCTTGATTAACTAGTTCAAGTGTGTTTAATTGGTGTTGGAGCTGAACTCTGTAGGACACTGGCCCTCCAGAAGCAGGATTGGACACTCCTGGTATATAGGAACCCAGAGAGTTCCAAATGGGAGAGAGGCTTTCATCTGAGAGACTGTCATCTTCCGGTCCCAGCACTTGATTCTTTTGTTGTGCATGTTGTTGTAACTTGTAGTGGTTAAGTGAAAGTTATGCTGTGTGCTAACTTGTTTAAGTATGGTAACTCTATGTTTATAGTTACCCTTAACTAGTTGAAGTGTTAAAGTGATCACCTTGGTTGTGTGTATCTGTGTAGTCCTGGCCTGCGTGGCCAGATTTTCCTTTAAGTTTATCTATTGTTGAACTTCGTTATATCTTTGTTGTGGGATCATTTGTAGGGAGGAGGATGCCATTTAATTTGATAATTCATGTTTTCTCCTGGTTTTTAAAAAGAGAGGGAGTAAGGAAAGGATTTGTCTTTGGTTTCTTTTTCTTTTGAAGCTAGGTAAGTTATGTACACAAACCCTCAGTAAGTGTATCTTTTGTTTGTTATTTTGGCCATTTCCCCTCCTGGAGTCTTAAGTTTGTATCCCACTGATTACCTAAAATAAAGCCTGTTATATTTTTTTACTTTGAAAGCTGGTGGTGTTGTAACTTGTGCTTGTCCTGGGACCTGGAGATGGGAGTTCTCACACTCTCTCCTCGCGACTTTTCTTACCCTCCTTTCCCTCCCCTAGACCAAAAAGGGGGATCGTAACAAGTGGGGGCTCGTCCGGGATTTGAACCAGAGACCTCTCGCACCCGAAGCGAGAATCATACCCCTAGACTCTCTCTACTTGTGTTTCTTGAATAAAGCCAAATGGATTTTTTTCAAGCTAATCTTTTTTTTATTCATCTGTAATGACCGAATCACACAGCAAAAACATTTACAAACCCTAAAACTAACCCTGTTTTTTTTTATCATGTTTTTATTTTTTATTTATTTATTTTACACAATAAGGTCCCTTTATTTAACATTAGTTAATGCATTATCTGACATTAACTAACAATGAACAGTACTATTTGCAATTGCTTTTATTTACTATAATTAGTTACAGTATTTATAAATCTTTATAACGTTAGTTAATAAAAATACAACTGTTCATTGTTAGTTCTTGTTATATCAGGTCTATAATATGAACATATACAACTTTTCATTTTAATAATGTAATAGTAAATGTTGAAATTAACATAAACTTAGATTAATACATGCTTTAGTAGTAGCTATCAGTGTTAGTTTATGTTAGCTAATTTAGTTAAGTAATGGTAAGAAACGGAACCTTATTGTGAAGTGTCACCAAAATCTCTAAATGTCCTGTAAATAAGATAAATTTACTTGAAAAGTAAAAAGAATTATATTATCTCTTGCTTTCAGAGAAACCTAACTAAGATTACAATAAAAAGAAATATGGCAGAGGTGTCAGGAAAAAAAAAAACAATTCAAAGGGAAAACAAATTCATTTTTTGATGAATTCCTTCATGATTAAAGCATAAAGCTCATTTAACTTTGTTGAATTTCTCTGTAAACACGACTTAATACATCTTTGGGTCTTTTTAGGGAGTTTAGACATTTTAACAGGAAAACAAGCCAAAAAATATGCTGCATGTTGTGCTATAATCATGTTATTAACAATATTTGTGTAGAAATGAAACTAGTGCCATACTCACGCCTTGTAACAGCCTTTAGTTCATACACAGGGGTCAGCTTCAGCTCTCCAAATACATTCTCCAGCAAATTCGAGAATAAGAAGTCCTTCTTGGGAAGAGTTTTGACCTCGGTTACAGTCCTCTTTCTGCCTTTGGAGATTTTCCACTCTGCGATCTCTTTCAGGGTATAAAACTGGTCATCCTGGCACTCTGTGAAGTGGCCTTGCTGGGAGAAGCTCAGGCTAAAGCAGAACTTGGGCTCTCTGTGTAGCAGCTCACATTGCACACGTCCACTGTTGAGCTCATGGGTGACGGCAGTGATTCTGAAGCTGTCTCCTTCCCTGATGACGCCCTGCGCCAGCTGAATCTCCGAACCGCTGAGGAAAACGGGCTGGGACAGTCTGTGGGAGCTGATCTTGAGTGAGTCAGCTATCTCTTGTATGCTTCGGTACGGCTGACTGTCGGCCAACAGTTTGAACAAACCTGACACAGAGCACAAGGTTAAGTCACTCCAAGAACCAAAAGTGGTGACAACATACAGAATGTGGATTATAATAAAAATACAAACACATTAACGTTTGTAGTGAGTCATTAACAGGCGCATCATACACCAATTATTTTGTATGGTGCATCAAACAAAGTCCTGTAAGATATGACCAGTGGAAAATACCAATCTTTGTCCACTGTCCACTATATCTGACTTATCCAAGAGAAGACAGAGCTTTTCATCCTTAAGGCGTTCCACCACTCGGCTAAGATTGTCATGGAAATCACTATAGAGTTATGAAGAGCTGCTGACCATCACAGATCATAAAGACAGTAGGATCAAACCTCTGCACATAACTGGTAACGCAGCAGTGAGTTTGCTCTAATGAACCTTGCATCTTTGCATATTAGTCGCTGTTCACACTTTAGTTTATGGACCAATTCTCACTACTGACTAACTGTTAATTACGACTTTTGCAATATTAATAGTTAGTAAGGTAGTTGTTAAGTTTAGGTATGTGTAGGATCTAAAATATGGTCATGCAGAATAAGACCTTAATATGTACTAATAATAATAATATGCATGCTAGTTAATAGTGAGAATTTGTCCTTAAAATAAAGTGTTGTCTATATTTGTGTACAGAATGTTTTTTTGTGTATTTGTGTGCCTCTGCCTCTGCACCATCACACTTCCCCTCACTTTTACTCCTCTCCTGAAGCCCGCAGTCGCTGAGTGAGCGACACTCCACGATATCATCAGAGACACAAAATCACTTTTGTGAAATGTCGTTGTTCTGTCGAGTCCCAACTTAAGAAATGGGATTATTTTAACATGACGTGAGTTGTAACACTGTCACTTTAACCTTTATGAAATGGTGTACATGAATAAAATCACTATCGTACATAAGCACCACTCTTCTGAAGTTCAAATAGAAGTTGTAAGGCACTGTGTACAAATATGTGACCCTGGACCACAAAACCAGTCATAAGGGTCAATTTTTTTAAAATTGAGATTTATACATAAATACATGTAGGATGTATGTACATGTACATGTTAGGATAGGACAATATTTGGTCGAGATACAACTATTTGAAAATCTGGAATCTGAGGGTGCAAAAAAAAATCAAAATATTAAGAAAATCATCTTTAAAGTTGTCCAAATGAAGTTCTTAGCAATGCATACTACTAATCAAAAATTAAGTTTTGATATATTTATGGTAGGAAATTTACAAAATATCTTCATGGAACATGATCTTTACTTAATATCTTAATGATTTTTGGTATAAAAGAAAAATCGATAATTTTGACCCATACAATGTTTTTTAGGCTATTGCTACAAATATACCCCAGCGACTTAAGACTGCTTTTGTGCTCCAGGGTCACATATAAAGAATAAATATATGCAAAAAAAAATTAAGGTAGGAAAATTAAAATTTCACCTTATTTTCTAATTTAATGCATTTTATGTGACAGAACTGGCATGACCAGATTATTTTATTTAGTTTCATATGTAACATTTATTCAAAACATTCACCATGTGACACGTAGACACGTAGAATTATCGTGGATGAGCAGACGATGAGATTTGCAACATGACTTCCTCCATTTACATCTTTTGGACCCACAAAGACTGAACAAAATGGAAAGCCGACATCTGACACGACTGTGAAATTAACATACACACGCATACTTCAAAATATGTTTTTGTTGTCGTTAGACTATGTTTTATGTATTTGCAATTGTTTTATGTATGTGAACTGCTTGCTTTATGAATAAAATACTTTTTAAACATTTAATTTTAAACATTTCAATTTAACCATTGATATTAAACGAGTTAAAATCAATTCATTAACAAAACAAATGCATGTACAAATTTTCAACCGATGACAGATAAATTGTAGATTTCTGTAGCAAATGGAATCAGTGGAAGGTGCTTCTCAAACGGACTGATCAAGCTTAGCTATTTTCGGTTGTTTTAAACAGACATATTTTAACCAACAATAACCAGATCACTTGCTAATCACAAATAATACCTGGAAATTCCACAGGAATCTCAATCTCAGTGTTGCTGGAGGTCTGAGCAGTGAATCTGGTGATGGTGATATCAATGACTTTCAGCAAATCTCCCGTTGAAAGAGAGCACTCTCTTCCAAACATCTCATACACGCAGCCTGAAAAAGAACCAATTGTTAAAGTGTTTAAAACACATTGAAATACATTATAAACCTTACATAGCATTCCAATTATAACGCATTCCAAACCATTTAGTTTCGATTGCAGTAAAACTATTTCATCACAAGCACTGGAGTGTTATTGTGAGCAGTTAAATGGCATTACAAAAGACATATTACAGACTAAAAGGAACTAGAAAAAGATCAGAAAGAAGTGGGTTTCCGCTCGGCATCATGTGGTTTGAAAATAAATGCAAATTTGTTTCTTCAACTGATAATTTCAGTACTTTTCTTGCTAGTTAGTTACCTCTTAAACGTTTAAAAGTTATATGACGTATTTGTGAAAGCTGCTATTGGTTCATATGTAAAAACGTGCCTGTCTTCAAAGCTTAAACACAAATTGTGTAATAGGATTATGTTGCCTATTTTGCCTTTTATTAATTTTTTTTTTTAAAGCAGCAAACCTATTATGAATAAATAGTATCAATTTTTCACCATTTCAACCAATAAGTGTACACAAGCGGTTCTAGGTTTTACAATGTTGGAAATGCATAATTCCAGCTATTATTTGACTGTGAGGAGCAGATGAATTATGAGCAGGTAACTCTCCAGTTTTACTCTTACCTTGACAATATATTCCTGACTGGATCTGAAGCACTCTGGGGAACATTTTAGGATCCAGAACCTGCGTGAATTCATGCAGCGTCGTAGCCATCTTCTGCTGTGCTTTTACGAGGAGACGTTTTTAAAGCTCTGGACGGGCTGAGAGACGTGGCTCTGTACCTCGTGAATCCATAAAATGCCCCGTAGGAGGGTTAATGGAGGGCTAGATGGCAGAGGAACTCCCAGGATGCCCATTGGCCCTCCAGACGCCCCTTGAGCTCAGCAGTGCAGACTGAGAACGAGACTGTGAGGCATCCTGCGCAGCGGAGGAGGACAGGAAGCCGAGTGCAGCTCGAAGACCACATTGTTAACGCATTGTTAAGCAAAGCTGCACCGGGTATCTGCAAAAAATACTATGACATACACAAATCCCACATCCTCTGCCTGACTTCATGACACCAGGGCCAAAACAATGCGAAAACAACAGGGATCCAAATCACTGAAACAATGATCCATCCGACACCACTGTTTCATCGCATCATTTACTCATTTTTATAGCAATATTGTGGCATTTTCAAAGCTGGGAAACCACCACTACATTTTGAACAAACCACATTTTAAAAGTATCCAAATTCATTCCAAATTGGATGAAACTAATTCTTTAACACATCTTTTTTTTTTTATTCAAAGTATTTTTACTATTTGACATTGTAATACAGCCATAAAGCCAACAACTACAGACAAAAAATACATAAGTTATTATTTCACATGATGGATTTTTTGTTGCTGTTTTGTTTTTTATAAAACGTCTGATCAGCATCGATACAGGCTGCATCTTTCTTCTTAAATTGGCTTTGATCCTAAATACACTAGAGTCTAATACTGTGTATATTTTTAATGCATACACTGTTTTTTTTTCCATTTCCAGCACAATACAAATGTGAAAATGTCAGAAAAAATAGAGCTCTTCTCTTTTCTCCTCAGCAAAGGAATAATTCACAATCAGTTATGCAAAACAAACCACGATAGCATGTAAAAGATAAAAAAAAAACAAAAAAAGAGAAAATACAATTTTCAAATACAACAAAAAATAACACTACTTACATCTGTCTCATACATAAAAATCTACAGAGTGTTTGCAGTGAAAATTTCAGCCGAACGGGGAATGATAATGATTGTTTTGAGCTTTCAAAAATGCAAGTAAACAATAAATACAAACAATGTGCTTCATCCCTATAGACATATTTACACAAGTCTTTGGCTTATGGTCATCATCTGCTACTAAAAATCAAAAGAACACATAATAAGCCAGCCATTAGTGCGGAATGCAGTCTTCTCGAGCCAAAGTCACACGCTCTCGATCGATGGATAAACATGTGTTTGTCTTTTCAAAACAATCTCCATTTATACTAGTACTACTATATATGGTTATTATAACAGGAACAGTGACAGACACAAAGAAATAAAGAGCGTCTTCAGCATGCAACAGCTCGGGCTTACGGTTTCAAATGGCTGCACAAAATAAAAAATAAAAAAAACATTTATATTAAAAAAACATGACCGGGTGGCTGGCACTTGAATTTCATGAAAGTCAACACAGATGCACAAATGGAGACACACACACACACACACACACACACACACACAGACACAGACACAGAGACGTCCTGTATCCAGACTAACATTACACACACACACTGTAGTGCAGCGTCAGTTCTGCTGGAGAAAACCTGCTCAAGAGCAAAGACAGATCTTTAGAGTCTCGTGCTGCCAGACTTTTGAGCACTTTACTTTTTTCTTCACTACTACAGGTTTGCTCACTGGGGTTTCTTTCTTTTTTGTGTGAAAAAGAAGTGTGCTTAATTTTAGTGAATGTGCACTTGTGGAGTACTTCAAATCATACAAAGTACATAAAAAAGTGTACTTGCAGATAACATTATATTAAATGCACTTAAAGAGACACACTCTCATGACTGTTTCTAACACACTAGTAACACACTTTTAAAAAGGTGCACTTTATAATAATGTCAAATTAAAAGCTTTACTTTAAAGTACATTATAAATCAAGGCTTGATAATCTTTTGTCATGCATTTATTTTGATGTTGACTAACAAACTAAAGCATATGTAAAGTACTTGATTAGAATTTTAACTTACAGTAAATGCACTAAATTGCAATTTTATCATTACAAATGTGTAATTACAAATACCTATAAATACACGTTTCAATAGAAATTAAAACTTAAAATTATCTAAAATATAATTAAAGTATATTTTAGTTGATCATAAATGCTTGTCAGTACATTCAGCAGTAAAACTTGAATCATATTTCAAAAACAATAGAATTATGAAATTACATATAAAGATGCACTACATATAACACTCCTTGAGTGGATCAAAAAGCACTCTTAAGTTTAGTGAATTGTATTTAATATAAATTTAAATGATAATACATTTTCATTTGATTTCTGTAATGTGTTTTTAAATGTATGCTGTACAAGGGTTAATGAATCTTTAAAGGAAGAAAAATAACAGCAAAAAAACACTAAAATTAATAATAATAATAATAATAAACAGCAACTGTTTGGTTACCCACATTATTCAAAATCTCTTCTTTTGTGGTCAGCAGAAGAAATTAATTCATACCGTTTTGGAACAACTTGAGGGTGAGTAAATGATGACAGAATTTTCATTTTTGGTGAACTATCCCTTTAAACAGAATTTAAGCCATTATCACTACAACATTATTTTATATGTCAAGGCGATTCTATTCATGCAGCATAAATAATTTAAGCATAAAGCTTAAATCTTTTTATTTATTCTTCACAAACAAAATAATATAAAAAATTGACTTGATATATAAAAGGACCAGTCATAGTTTGTGTAGGTGTGTAGGGTAGATGTGATATCAGTGAGAGCAGTGTGAGAGCGGACATTTATTCACAGACAATACACTGACAGGAAATACTGACAAGATATTAGAGGAAGCTGTGAGCTTTGTGGTCTGACTTTCTGTCTGCCAACAGGTAACACTGTAGCTACTGATTAATGCATGAACAGCTGCGTCTGTACTCACAGACAGTGTATAATAGTGCGTCCATCGCCTTCCTCACATTCCTCCTGCCATTTGTCCACCTGGAGGATCAGCTTGAGGAACGAGCGCTTGGAGGCGGGAACTTCCCTATGACCCGCCCATCCCAGGTACTGGAACTGACGGACCATCAGGTAACCTTCCTGAGGCTTAGGACACACACACACACACACACATCAATGTGACTACACACTTCTGCCCAAGACATGTGTACGGCTCTGCACTTTGTTGCTTTGCCAAAATAATCAAGGGTTTCAGAGACGTACGGAAAAACTCACCCTGGTCAGGTTGCATATCCTGAAAAGACGACTAATGACGTCACAGTCCATAGAGCAGGATATGCAGTCCACCTGTACAGGGCCGTATCTTAGCATTCCCTCCTCCGGCCAGTACTGAGGACAACCCTGTACACACCGATTACACACGGATCAAACACACACAGGAGCCACTGACAGTAGCCCTGGTGTTGCATTAAGGGAATAGTTCACCCAAAAAGGAAAATGTGTTAATAATGTGCTCCCCCTCAGGCCAGCCAAGATGTAGATGAGTTTGTTTCTTCATCAGATTTGGAGAAATGCAGCATTGCATCAGTGTCTCAGCAATGGATGCTCTGCAGTGAATGGGTGCCGTCAGAATGAGAGTCCAAACAGCTGATAAAAACATCACAACAATCCACAAGTAATCCACAATCCATCAACTAACATCTGGAGAAGCAAAATGCTGCATGTTTGTAAGAAACAAATCCATCATTTAGATGTTTTAACTAAAGTCCATAATCCACAATATCGCTTCCTCCAGTGAAAAAGCTACCTCGTCTGAATCTGGAGAGAAATAAGCACAGATCAAGCAACAGTTTAAAGGTAAAATGTCTTACTGACAGTTTTGTTTCTTACAAACACAGAGCTTTTGGGTTCACAAGACATTAACTGATGGACTGGAGTGGTGTGGATTATTGTGATGTTTTTATCAGCTGTTTGGACTCTCATTCTGACGGCACCCATTCACTGCAGAGCATTGCTGAGCAAGTGCTGCAATGCTACATTTCTCCAAATCTGAAACAAACTCAGCTACATTTTGGATGGCTTAAGCGTGAGCACAAATGTTCATTTTTGGGTGAACTATACTTTAAACCCGCTAAGAAACATTCAATTTGGCTCAACATAAACAGATTGTTTTCCACTGACTTCCCTAGCTAACCAATTGATCTTTCATGTCTTCTCATTCCTTAAATATACCTCGCACAAACATTTTATTAAGAGTATTAACATCATACTTCAGCTTTAATCTCACCTGAGCCAAATCGATCTCGTTTAGCATGACGATGGAGGTGCATCCATAATCATACACCAGCCTCCAGAAGTCCTTGACGGTGTTGGGTAACGGATGCTGGGTCACGATGAACGCGGCCGGCTGCCTGTAGCTCTGCATGACATAGAACATAATGTACTTCCTGCAAACACTCTGCTTTGTGACACTTACGCACAACCAAGACGAAGATGGGACGTTTTTCAGGATGGCCGATGTGTATGATCATGCACGGACCACAGTGAGCGCTCCACATGAGAGAATGATATAAACGTGTGTCGTCTCCAGTGTGTGCGTGTCTTTGTCGATGTGTCAGTGTGATAAACGTTCATCTCTGTAAGTGATGCATTCATTTTTTTTTTTGCATGCTGTAGCAAACCCAGTATAGAGAGGTTGAATGGAAAGTGCTGACATACCACTAAAGCCACGAAACAAATCCAGTCTAACAGAGGCAGAACTGAATCAGAAATTACCTGGTATTCTTCTGACGGCTTGGTTAAAAAAAGTCCAAGAGTTTGTGAAGCGTACGAGGAAGCGATTTAAAATTACCCTCTAAAATCACAACTTTTTGAGTTCAGCTGTCAAACTAGCTGACTCCGGCTGTGCGATCACCATCTCCCAGGGTCAGAGGTCATCGGCTGTGATCTACAGATCTGTTGTGGGACGTCACTGACTGAACGCGCTTCAGATATACAGAAGATGGTGCACATTGAAAAACAGTGCTCTACGTTAGATAGACTCTACATGACTTACACAGACAGCCATGACAAATGAAGCACTAGGAGATGGATGCACTGTCACTCACAGATCAATCTAGATACTAAACAAATGCATTCTCAGATTAGAAACTGAATATTCACTCGCCCTCACGTCATTCCAAACCTGGCTTTCTTTCTTCCGTGGAAGACAAATTGGGAGGAATCATTAGGCGGCTAATTTCCATAATATGAAATCATGCAGTGACCAAGAGCTGTGATGCTCAAAAGACTATTAACACTAGTTCATACGACTCAAGACCTCTGATGGTAGCGTTGTGCGTGGAAAGTCTTATTTGTGCTTGTGTTCAGTTAAAAGTGCACAAGTGTGTGGTATGGACTACTTTTGTGGTGGTTTCTTGTCCTTTTTTTGGAGCTTGACAGAAAGTGGTCACCTTTCACTTTTGTTGTATGGAAATAAACACCTGTGGTAAACATCTCCAGTTGTTTTCCACAGAAAGAAGGAAAACCATCCAGATTTTAAACGACTCGAGGGTGAGAAGTGATGGCAGAACGTTCAGGGTTTGGATGAACTTGTCCTTTAATAAATGACAAAAATCAACGCTTTCAAGCAAGAGATTCACACTTGCACTTACCTCGCCGTTTCCAAAAATAGTTTGAACTTTATTATTTTTGAAAACCCAAATGAAAGAAAGTTAAATTTAGGACCACATACAGCCATCAAGAAGAATTCATTAATTACGCTACTGAAAAGAAGCTAATTGAATGCTTTATTATGTCAAGACAAATAATCGTGACACTAGCACCACGTTACGTGGCTCATAACAGAGCAACTGGAAAAGGTTTGAAAGTGGCTCACGCTAACATCTGTCCCACTCAAAGGACTTGCCACCTGGATTTGTCTCTAGCTTTCTGTAGCTCCGTTCCAAAATCCAATGAGAGATCTCGCTGTCTACTATCTACACTGACAGCTGCGCTCTAAAGCAGCATGGAAACTCACAAATAACTGATCTGAGATGCTGCATGTCGGCACACAAATGAGGGACTGACTCAATAGAATCCACAGCATAAATCCATTATTTTTAAATCCATATTATCAATATGTTTACTACAACTTTTAGGATGGGTTATACTAACAGAAATGTGTGTGTATTTATTCTGGGACTGGCCCTCAAATGTTGCCTCCGTCGGCAGCTCACTAGGTTTTGGAACAGAGCGTGTGTCTAACATAAAGGAGACGAGGAAAAGAGTGAGAGCGAGGAAGCCATACTTACATCCATGAGCGCTGCATTGATGTAGTTGCTGCTCTCTCCGTCGATGGTGATGAGGAAGGGCAGGCAGCGGTCGGGCGGGAGGTTGTCCATGAAACGGTTCTTGTCGTGATTTCGAGGAAGGAGTGCAATGCTGCAATCTTCAGGCTGCGGCTGAGGAGTCACTGAGTTCAGCGTCTGCACAGGAGAGAGTGGACAATAGCAACTGAGAATGGAAGCAAGATCTTTTGTTGTTAATGTCAAAGGCCATGTGTCCAATCCAATCTACTCAAATGAACCAGATGCCAGCATAGACAGGTTGTATGGCACACGTGCATCCTCAAAAACTATGAACAAAACTACACAAGATAAAAAAAGAATAAAATGCAGACGTTAAATAAGGGTTTTAAACACACTGTTTTATGCCGTCAATTATAGGCTACAAAGAACATACATGTTGAAAAACCACCAAGAAGTGTTTAGAAACCAAACACTGAATGATGCTGCATATTGTTGGGCCTATGCAGTTCATAGTGATATTAATAAAATCATGTTTGATTATAAGGAATTATTTGTTGAACTGATTTTGTATTTTTGTGTTGGGTCTTCACTTGATGTCCATGCAAAATCTGGGTCCTGAAGGAAAGCCAGCAGAAAAGCACATTATAAATAATAAAAAACAGCGTTTGTCAGGTACCTGGAATTCGTCTTTGAGGTGAGAGGAATTGCTCTGAGAGTCGATGCGGATCATGTCGTAGTACGCGGCTTTGAACTCGCACACGGGAATCGCCGTCTCGCCACACAAACACGCCTCCAGGATGGCATCGTGGATGAAAATGTACTGCTCCTGAGAGCCAGGGGAAAACCAGGGGTTGTGTGTCGTCAGTGCATGCGCTTTCATTTTTGACAACCTTATTAGTTTGCTCGACATGAGTCCCACTGTTGCAAAACACTTGTTTAAAGCAATTCAATACTACCTATTTTTTTTTTATGAACTCTGAATTCATCCACTTTGAAATGCATCATAGCAGCAAGGCAGAAACTATACCTGCTTTTCTGTTGTTGTTGTTGCTGGAAATATTGCAACAGTGGCTCTTAGTGGTCTCATTCTTCTAGATGTTTTATAGAGGTCAATGCAGGCCTCTGAATATGCACTTTAAGGTACAGTACTGGCAGTAAAGGCAAAAGCATGTTTTTTGCATACTTCATTAAATGAAATTGTGCAACCTTGAAAGCCAAAACAAAATATGAATCAACATCATGAATTTTATAACCAGTGGCTTCCTAAAAATACATTTAGTAGGGAGGAAATAAAAGAGGAGCATAATCAGTATCATGATTGAAGCATGCAAACGCACCTCAGTCTGAACCATGTTGATTCGTCTGGAGCGCAGAGCTTTGACGCAGTTGTAGATGTCCACCACCCCTTCTCTCTCTGCCATGTCCAGCATGATGTCAATCACGATGTAACATCCGGTCCGGCCCGCTCCCGCACTGACACGCACAGAGCAGGGAAGAAAAGCATCATCTCACTGATCAAACAATGCCAGCTGAGAGACAAGAGCACGTGTCTGTGAGCAGCGGCTCACTCTTTTATAAACACTACTCCTTTAAAAATCTGAGCTATTCTTAAAGCTTCATTTTGTACAAAGATAAGGTTTAAAGACACTGTTTTGATTAAGAACCAAGCACTTGTGTCAGGATGCTCAAGAAACAGTGTGAGACACCATTGGACGGCTATAACGCTGGTTAATTCATGCAAACTGTCTAAAGCAGTGGTTCTGTCTTTTCTATGAAATTTCCAAGACACTTTTTTTTTTTTTTTAAATACAATAATGTATACATCCTCATAAATATGAAATACATTGTGTTCAAATCTAGGTAGTTAAATTAGGTTTACTTCAGGTTTATTTCTTTGCTTAATGTCTTTGTTAAAATTATATCTGCATTTTAAAATATTAAACATTTATACTACACATATTTCATGGAATAATTGAAAAAGGTTATTTGGTTATTTAGTTTCTAGTCGTGGTGTCACAATACCGGTAAAATGTCACAATTCTCAGCACCAATTCTGATACCATCGAAAAAAAACGATTGGAAATATTTAACTATTGTATTTAACTGTTTAAAAAAAAAAAAAATTAAATAATAAAAAAAAAAAAAATACATGTGTTAGCTAAATATTAATGCTAATAATAAGTAAATTATACAGCAACCAATATTTTCCAAATAAGTACAAGAAAAGTAAATTGAAGTGAAGAACAAAGAAATACATCACATGTAATAGAGCGAAGACTGTTTTTATTATTATTAGTTAGCCATCACTGATTTGTTTTCTTTTTCTGGTTAATATTGTTGTAGCAGATCTTTTCGTCTGCATTCACAATGCAAGACTTATACATTTTACATGTTGACATACAACATTTGCTGACATCTGTCTGTTGCTATGGTTATCACTGCAATCTGCGTTTTGCTACTTGACTGAACAGCAGCATAATGCCATTAAAACAAAGACAGTAGCAATCAAAGACTGCTGAAAGGAAAAGAAAGCTGCATCATGGGATTGTTCTTTCTTTTTTTTTTTGCATGCAGCAATGCAGATGAGACCACATCCTGTTCTTGGGGCATGAACGACAAGCAACGTGGTAATGTAAAGGGGTAAAATAGTTTCTGCCAGATGTGTTAAATGAGCTGAGAATCAGAAGTACAAAGAGTCATAAGAGCTGCTGTGACTGGCCAACAGTGTCAGATGTGGACGCTGGCAGAAAGAAGTGTGAGCATGACAAAATAACACAACCAACCACAAGACCATTCACACATGCAGATGAGCTGGGTAAGACCTTAAGAACAGGAAATGATGTCATAAACCAATGACAATGCATTCTCCTCTACAACATGAGAATCGATCTCAACAGAGACGGACCTCATATAAAACATCAAGCTGTGGATCTGTGGTTTCTTCTGATGCTGTACTGTTCATTAAAATAATAGTTCACCCAACAATGAAAATTTCCTGATAATGTGCTCCCCGCAAGGCCATCCGAGATGTAGATGAGTTTGTATCTTCATCAGGTTTGTAGAAATGTAGCATTGCATCACTTTCTCAGCGATGGATGCTCTGCAGTGAATGGGTGCCGTCAGAATGAGAGTCCAAACATCTGATAAAAACATCACAAGTAATCCACACCACTCCAGTCCATCAGTCAATGTCTCGTGAGGAGAAAAGCTGCATGTTTGTAAGAAACAGATGCATCATTAAAATGTTTTAAATATAAACCATTGCTTCTGTTGCTTGATCTGTCCACATTTCTCTCCTGATTCAGACACAATGACTTTTTCACTGGAGAAAGCAATATTATGGACTTGGAAGCCACTGTTTACAGTTCAAAACACCTTGATGGATTTGTTTCTTCCAAACACATAGCTTTTCACTTGACAAGACTATTGTGATGTTTTTATCAGCTGTTTGGACTCTCATTCTGACGGCACCCATTCACTGCAGAGCATCCATTGCTGAGACACTGATGCAATGCTACATTTCTCCAAATCTGATGAAGAAACAAACTCATCCTAATCTTGGATGATCTTGCGGGGAGGAGTACATTTCCAGCAAATTTTCATTTTTGAGTGAACTATTGCTCTAAAACATGAGTTCTGAAATCCCGTTCTTGTCTTCAAACCAGTACAAAGCAATTATGACGTTTCATTAGCAATATTTTTCAGCCACTTTTACATGTAAAAACTGTCAAATCGTCTGTCATTCACACCTTTTTATGTTGGATTAATTTTGCTACTATTCACACTCCACCAAATGCTGGCATTAACTGCAAATGATCTTTGAACACTTAATACAGCAGACTACATTCATGTTCACATGACCTCTACATTTTCAGCACAAAGGCTGTATGTGTGAAGGCATCGAGCATGTGTTGATGCACTGTACCTGCAGTGGACGACGATAGGCCCAGCGGTGGGAGGGTTGGACATCTTGACTCGTCTGATAAATGACAACAGTCCTGTAGCGTGATACGGTACTCCATGATCGGGCCAGCCAGTGAAATGAAACTGCTTTACCTCTCGCACCTCATTAAAACCCCTCTGTGAAAATAAGAACAAACATCCACAAAACACCTGAGCACCTGAAAAAAATTATTTACTTTCTCAGCAATTACAGTGGCCCCAAAAAGTATCTGCACACTTTAAGTCACACTAATGATAAATATATCACTGCAAGTGTAGAGAAAGATGCACAAACACATTTTACAAGCTAAACATTATTTAAAAAAATGACTTCATTCATCCACTAGCAATTACCAAAATGACTGTTATAATAATATATGTATGAATAAAAGTGACGTTAGTGAAAAGACGCAGATACAGATTCTTCATCAAATGTTCAAGACTCCAAATACTTTGTGTGGCCACTGTATATGGAGTACATGAGAAAATTAAACACATTTCCTACAGAATTGTAGTAACACTTGCCATGTTAGAAAATACACTTTAAACATGATCAAATAATCTCACCCTCTCCAGAGTGAAAGTCCTGACAACGTATTCTGCGAGCGGCTCGACCTCCACAAATGTCACTTTAAAATCTCCATAAACTTCAGCATCATCTGGCCAGTACTTATAACATTTCACCTACAGGAGGATGAGACCAATCAAACGTAAATCACATGCACTCTAATGCAACATGTTGCATGTTCATTAAACACATTTTTATGAATACAGTACCTATGCTGGCTGATGAAAAAGCAACACAGATGCATCTTGATTCACAGCAGTCTGATTTAATTCTGGCTTAAATCGTCAAGCTGAAATCTTGCTTGAATGCTTTAAGATGTGAGTGATACTGTATTCAGTCTTAACATTTGCTCCAAGAGTATTACGATATAAAGACTGCTGTGAAATCATTTCAAATGCACGCACTAGTGCATAATGATAGAATTAAACAAAGCGTCCACAACGTGCACAAATGTACAAAACACATACATAGACATGCTTCAACCCTTTGAGAAGTGTCAAAAAAGCTTTTTATTATTATTTCTTTCTTTTGATTTTGGGGTGAAATATGACCTGCTCCCGACAAGGTTTGTGAGGTTCACCCATATTTGTCACTTTGAGCAGATGAATAACTAGCCCTCGCTCACTCTTCAAAAGGTTTTTACAGGCAGGGGTCTTCAGGTCACATCACAGAGCACAAGAACACACAACGGCCCCTCAGCAGGCAGTATAGTGACATACCCGGCCCACCTCCACTAGGTTGGTTACCATCACGATACAAGCCGACTGCTCTTGCCAGATCATCCTCCAGAAGTCGTACACCGTCTCGTGGACAGGGCCTGTGGGAAAGCCAAACGCTCTGCTTTATTTCTCTAAATCTATGTTTTTGTTCAATATCCATCAATATTTCAGTCATAAACATTTGAACACGTCGGAGAAAAAAGGGCATTATTTGACAGATTTTGTGATAAGTAATGTAGAATGTATTCGTGGTATATAACTAATAATCACTGTGGATCATTCACTGTAAAAAGTGGTAACCTGCAGTTGTTACTTTAAAGAGATATTTCGGTAACACTTTAGTATAGGGACCAATTCTCAC